GAGAAAAAATTATTTGGTATCTATTGCCTATGGCATGGGAGCATTCAGACTAAGGAGCAGCCAAGGGCTTTTCACAAGTTCTACTAAATATCGCTCTGTTCATTACTTTAATTTCGAAGTTGCGATCTACAAGCTTTTTGAACATTTCTGTTAGCTTTATGAGAAAAACTGCTTGGGGGTTAGATATGCAAAAATAATGTAGGTATTCGTGGTCTAAGGCCATATAAAAAAATAATTGGTTAGCATCCCCTCCCTAACATCAGAGAGGCCACCAACCCGATTTTTTTTCTTTTTGTTTTCTTTACAGAACACTCACAAACTCCATTTAATATAGGTTTGTTTACCACCAGTCAGCACACTAGCCAGATCACTCAATTCTGATTATATTGATCAATTGTGCGTGATTATATAGAAATAATTGCATTATGACAATATTCATAGGTAAAGTTCCTGTTTGCTATAGATGAATTACTTTCTTGTATACAATTTTGGTCTCTATTGTCTTATTCTTTGTTTTGCTGTTTTTCCTTGCGACACTCTTTTTTCATGTTCAACAAGAAAAAAAAAACCTCCCTACCATGAAAATTGATAAAATAAGGATGATAATTAATTTTCAAATTTTACATGGCCTAATATTTTTTGTCTGGTATGTGACAACAGAAAATATAATTTTTTTTCTTTGATCTTTTAGCATTCAGTGAAATAATCAACAAGATTAAAGTAACATAAAATAAAATAATACTTGTTAAATAATAAAGAAAACAAAGTTTCCATTCAATTTTCATTTATTCAACAGCTCAAAATTGTGATTGAATTTAAAATTAAATTGAATTTTTTACAAACTCAGAATATTGTAGATTGCAATAGTGTGGATTGAAAACATATATCTACAAATGATCGAGGCCAAACATATAAAGCAAAATAGTACATTTGAAGATGGTATAGGGTATATGGGTACGATGTTAAACTGCTTTCGGTCAAGCCATCAGCGACTAATGTGACAACCCCATTTTGTGTCTTTCTGAAAATGCTGCAGTACAGTGTCTGGTTTCTAACTGCATGTTTAAAGCCAGGCTCTGGAACAAAACAAAAATTTTTATTCCAAGATCCAAGAAAGTGTGTTTGGCGAAAAACTCATGAACGGTTAATGAGATACAGATTTTTTAATGTTTTAAAACTGGGGGAAAAAAGTTGGAAAAAAGTTATTTACAACTCCCTTATCTGCCAGTTTTTAATTTTGAAACATCTGTATCTCATTAGCGTTCCCGAGTCTTTTTCGCACAACCTCTTTGTGTATTAGAAGAATCAGTTATACAAAATACCAATGAAAATATTTTTCTCCGGAGCCTAGCTTTAATACAACAAAACCCTAAAAAAAAAAATAAAATAAAAAAATAAAATAAAATATTATATATTTACCATATTCATTTTTCCAGCATCAATTTGTGAGGGTAACCCATTGAGCTTTGGAGAGCTGATCATGTCTTGGCTTTCGGTGTAATTACAACTACAAATATATAGTAATTTTAACTTATTATTAACCATTAAAGGTAAATTAACTTTACAAAAAATAAAATAGTTTCGATTTCTAGCAATTTTTAATAGGCAGGTTCACAAGAGCCCTAATATCCGGATTGGTAGCTAACAGTTAGTGCTAACTGTTACCGAGTTCCGGATACGCTAACGGTTAGTGAGCTCTATCGGTTAGCAAGCTGAGAATGTTTCTGTCCTTAACCAATTACACTCACGCATTTCCAATTTCCTATTGGCCAGTAATTCAATCATCATCTTCTTCGTATCTGGATCGGGATTTTCTCGTAAGAACGCACAGCAGCTAACGGTTAGCATAATCCGCATCCTGCTAACCGTTAGGTGCCGTGTGTGTGAACATAGCCATTGTGACCTTTGACACAAGAGATAGTTTCCAAATTGATGTTTCGTGTTTTCTCGGCCCTCTTAGCTATTGTGACATCTCAGAACCAACAACCACTAATTGGACAGGAATCAACATTTACACCTCCCCAGTGTTACTATGGTTCATTAGAGACTCTTGGAGGCGCTCGTCAGTTTGGTCTTACAAAGAACAGTCGTCTGGAATATAATACAAGTTCACTACTACGTAAAATGCAGAAATTGTAAGTAAAATTCTTTCCCTGAACTTAGAGTTTATTATCAAAGTGGATAAATACAGACATGAAGAAAGAATAATGTTTAATTTCAATTTATATTTTGCATAATATTCCAATTGAAAACAGTTTTATTGTCTTGCTTTGTGTGTTTTTTATCAAGTGGCTAAATAAATGAAATGAAATGACCATTTTAAATAAACATAATAATAATTGTTCATGTACCATGAAATGAAGGACCCCTCTTCGTGTAAATGCCAGCTGTCACAAAACGCTGTAGTGATTTAATTGAGTAAATCGAAATGAGTTTTGGGAAAATAATGTTTTTGTTAATATATATTATATATAAGTGCAAGTAGACTACTTGACTAAACTGCAATTTAATAATTTATTATATAGAGAAAAACAAAATTTAAGGACTCTTGTAGTATGGTCAACAGGGAGTATGTTGCTACAGTAAAATGAGGCACTTTGCTACAACTAATTAAGTATAGTCAGTTCACTGGGTTATTGTTTTCAACAAAAGGCAACGGAATGGGCTCACTATATAACGCATTTATTACATCTGAATGATTCTGTTAAAACAGTGATTTCTAATGATTATAATCTAATATTTTACTCATGATACAAACTTCACAGAGGCTGAATTTTTAAATTGAATTTGTTTATGTTCTGCTTTCGTTATGTAATAACATCGATAGATGACGGTAGGTTTAGTGCGTGCCTGTCGCAATGTGCCCCTGGCTTAACCAATTGACATCCCTGTAGTTAAGAATGTTTTATAGATTTTAGACTGAGAAGATTATGGTTTAAAGTAACCAACTTAATATATATATGTCTTGACAACCATCAACATTAAGCAAATTGTTCTCCTTATTCCACCAGTAAGAGAAAGCATATGTGACTGATAGTATTGATTTTTAGTTAATATTACAGCATTAAGCTGCATTTATAAATGAATGTTGTTAAATTAATTAATAGTACCGACCAAGCCGACCAATTACCGTGACAGTTAACGAGCTGGTGTATTGAATGTGTTAAAGACAAGTGCCGCCGATGACCATTCTTTTGTGAGCCGCTTGTCCCCGCAACTCTTTGAACTATTCGTATTTTGAAGGCTGTAGCATTTCATGCACTGCCATTAAAAACAGAGTTGTTATATATAGAGGATATAACATCTGATACTGACCTACAGAAGTAGGACTTTGCAGAGTGGAAACATAATATATGATTTTTCAGTATTACTCTAATAAATAATTGATTTTCTTGTTTAAATGTGCTCTAGGTGTAAAGTCCAAATGAGAAAAAGCTCAGAATAATTTAGTTTTCAGATTTTTTTCATTGAAAAATCTTACCAGTCAATTTAAGAGTACACTTTTAGTTTTCTACTGTACTGTACTAATTTGTTTAAGTCTTTTTTTTTTTCTACTGACTATATTTTTTTCAAATATATTTTGATTTGCAATATGGAACCAGTTATAATTACTGTACTTTAGAATATACAAAAATAGTTTGATATTGACTTAAAGTGAAGTATCTATCATATCTGAACAAAAAAAAAGATTGAAATATACATAATAATATTGACAGTTTTAAAGCCAGGCTCTGAAGGAAAAAAATGTTGATATGTTGTTCAACTAATTTTCCTAAGACACAAAAAGGGTGTTTGACTAAAAAATTGGGAACTATTAATGAGATTTTTGAACATTAAAAAATTGGGGGGGGGGGGTGGTTATGCCCCTTTTTCCCCCAAGTTTTTAAATATTAAAAAATGTGTATCTCATTAACTCTTTCCTCGTTTTTCATCAAACATCATACATTTTTGTGTTCGGTTGTACAACATATGAACATTTCTTTTCCTCTGTAGTCTGGCTTAAAGTACAGCTTTTATATTTTTCTGGAGTGAAATTATTTACAATGTAAAATTTTGCGGAAGGCATTTTGAAATTGTTTGCTGTACTTGGTGTAAATAACAGGATTGAGAGCAGAATTGCTGTAGCCAAGCCACAAGAAAGTGCTCCTCCATGCACGAGGCAGCGAGCAAGAAGTGCAAAATGGTAGAATGAGCGCAGTGAGAAAAAATGGCAACCAACATATTAGAAAGGTTCCCGTAACTATGCAAAGTGTTTTAGTTGCTCGCCTTTCCCTTTGTATTATTAACGAAGTTTTGCTTGTTAACCCTCTTCTGAGCTTCTTCCTTGCTGTTAACTTCCTGACGAGTGACGGAGATGCCATGTCCACTGCATCGTTTTTAAAGGTTCTTGTTGACGTACAGTCGGAAACAGCATCAAGACATGTCTGTCTTCTGCCGTGTATATGTCTCATAGCCTGTCGGAACGTACTCCAATATACAAACAGCATAACTGTCATCGGAATGAAAAAAGCTCCAAACGTTGAAAATATTGTGTAGAATTTATTCTGACTGATCGTGCACTGGTTCGAACTGTTGTACTTTGACCTGAAACCAAGTAGAGACATGACGGATATGACCATGGCAACCAACCAAACCGAGATGATCATTATGACCATGCGTTTTGTCGTCCGCTTCTGAATGTAATTTACATGCTGGGTAATGGCCCAATAGCGATCCAATGCAATTACGCAAAGATTGAGTATGCTAGCTGTGCAACAGAGTACGTCTAACGAAATCCATACATTGCATACTGTCTTCCCAAGCTTCCATTCGTCTGTCATTTCGTACATCAAACTTATAGGCATGACGAGAACTGAAACGAGCAGATCTGATAATGCTAATGATGCGATTAAATAGTTTGCTGGTTGATGTAAGATGGTTTCTTTATAAATAGCCAACAAAACTAAGCAATTTCCCAAGAAAATTAGTAACATCACTGCTGTTAACGCAATGAATATGATAACTTTCACAGCAAAAGTCATGGAAATTTCAGCCAGGGCGTCGTCAGAGAAGATATCTGATGCGTTGGTGTGTTCCTGTCCGTCTGTTAGATTAAACGAGTATAGTATAGATGCCATATTACTTCAGTTATTGAATAGTCTTGTTGATATTTACAGCATTACACCAACTTTTTTCATACCTGATGAGACAAAAATGTTCAATTTAGATTCTTTATTCAAATTTAATATTTTGTTCTTAATTGGAAAGAAATATTCTAAATATTAAAGGAATTAATTTTTGTACATTGAATAAATTAATAAAGATTTTGAAATTTTATGTTCATTCAACTTAACTTTATCAGTTTTGTTATTATGTGGATTGAGTTTCTTTATTAACCGGATTCTTTTACAGATTTGGATTCAATTTATTTGTTTTTATTGAAACACAGAGTTCCCATTAGAACTGATACAGATACAAATCAAATGCAGGACAAAGTAACCAAAGAAACTCAGGTTAAATGCATCACCCAAAACAGTAAAATACATAATTCTATTGGGCTCCAACAAGCCTGAAAAAATAAAAGGATAAAAGATAAAATAGAAAAAGTGATGATCAAGTAAAAGATACCTGGCCATTTTATGTTATTATTTTTTAATTTTTTAGTGAAGGTGAGTATCTTTTAGTGAAGTTAATTAAGATTCAAATTATTTGTATACAGAAGGGAAATAGGTGAAAAACTTCTTTTAAAGACAAGATTAAAATAAAAATTCAATACATTATAAAATATGTAAATAAGGCATGAAAATGGTAAAAGCAGATTAAATTGAACAGAAGAGAGTAATAATCAGGAATTGAAGACAGATGAAAAAAGAAATAATTGAATGACGTCACATGTAGCGAGTGTGCCCTGAATAATGTATAAAACAATAGCAGTTGAATGTTTAAAAAAACACAAAAACAGACAGACAAAACACCCACTATAGAATAATTAAACATTTTAAGAAAGGCAATTTGTAAAATCGAACTGAAATGATGAATTTAAAACAATATCACTGTTGCTGTCACTGCAAGTTAAATTCTAGTAATGTTTATACGAATGATTATAATTGACTCACCTGGCATAAAACGTATTAAAAACAACTGAATTTTCTGCTTTACAATAGTAAATGTAGAAGCGTTTGGTGCAAAGGCTGTGGCTGGGACTCTCAACCTTGAAACCTACGCTGTCCAAGTTGCTTGTGTTTTTAGGCAAGACACTTTTAATCTATTTGTCACTCTCTACCCAGGTGTATAAATGGGTACCAGCATACACTATGCTGTGAAGGTAAAAACAGCTGCCGTGTGGTACAGTCTGGTACAATTGCCAAGGAAAGAGAAACAGGCACTCCAGCCTGTGAAGCCTAGAGCTTCAGATTTTGAACTTTACCTTTACTTACTTTACAGTAAGTTCAGTCGAGTAATAAATAATAAATACATCAAACTGTGTCAGAATTAGATCTAAATGTGCCGCTTGAAATCCCCAGCCATAATCCCATCCCTTTCAATTCGGTTCAACCAGACATTGTTATTCTTAATTGAAAAAAACAAATCAATGGTTTTGAGAGAATTAACTGTTTCACATTATTCTAAAACAAAGCTTAGATAAACCGAAGTTCAAAGCAAACAATGAATACTAGAAACAATGAATTCAAGAATTAAATATATCCTTATTGATGTTACTGTATATCACAATTAAAGCTGGCCGCCATGGCTGCTTGATCAATAAAGCATAATAAGGAAAATCTTGGTCTTCTCTACCACAAGAGAATCAATCAGGTATCATTGTTTTTCTTCCATAAAAAACAGTCCAAAAACAGAATTATGAGCATTAATCTGAAGGCTTGATAAATATAAATAATGCATGAAAGTGGTAAAAGTGGATTAAATTGATCAGATAGAGAGCAATAATCATGAAATTGAAGCCAGATGAAAAAGTATAATATGGCAGTTGTAGCGAGTGTGCCTTGAATAATATTAAAACAATAACAGTTGAAAGTTAAAAAAACACATAAACAGACAGAAAATTACACCCACATACATCCACACAAAATATGCACACAAAACCTAAGAAAACAGCACACACAAAACTTATACATACAGTGGGTTTGGAGACAATTACTCAATCAAAACATCAACTTTTTTTTTTTATTTTTGTTTTACAGTATAAGCAACTTGACCTATTATTGTTTTACTGGAATGTTTAACATTTTTATACCTTTAAAATCGAATGGTTTAAAAACATAAAAAAAGATACAAATTAGATATTCTGTACTTACAAATGTAACAGTAAATGCTCACCCCCTCAGCTATCCTAAAATATACATTTGTTAGCAGAATTTCCACTTGAGAATAATATCACAGGTTAGAAAAACATTTTCAGAATTGAAATAGAAGAATGCTGGAATAAACATTGTATGTAACATGTATGTTAAAAGTAACATGATCTAGAATGCCTCTCTCAACTGATGGTCAACGAGTACTGTAATTAAGCCACTAACAAACTGTTATGTAATCACGAGTGTCGGCTCATTGGTTGATAATTCATCCTCGCTTCAGTTCATCCTTGTAATGCATCGAATCAGAACTGCAAGATTCTATGCGGCATATGTCCAGGAGGCAGGTTGAAGTAAATGTGTGTTGGATGAGGAAGCCAAAACATTTGAGATTGCAGTCTTCATAAGCCACTTCAGTGCATGCAACAACAGATCTGCCATTGCGTAATAATTTACATTTTTGATTTGAATTTCCTTTTACATAAAACCAAAAATGCCTTACTTTTTTATGCTGTCAGCAAAATGATTTAGGTTAAAAAAAAAGTAAGCAATTTGGGTTTCATTTTGTGTAAAAGGAAATCAAATACCTAATGATAAACCGATGAAGTTTTTCAATCAATTTACATTTTTTTATTCATATTTATTTTCAAGTAAAGAACAATAAAACATGCACAAATTCAAGACTAAGAATTGCATTTTAAAAACACCAGTTATTATTTCATAATTAAGATTGTATTTTTTATTGTACAATTTTAATTCTTATTGCATAAGGATTCATTTTTTCTTATTTAAACGTAATATTATATAATTGTTATTTGTTTTAGGCTTGCATATTATAGAAATAGTGTTTGAATAGTTGTGGTCATCATCACTCTACTTATCCTCAATGTTATATATTTTTTGGACCACAATGGAAATAAGTTTGCCTTTATTGTATTTTTATCTAGGAATATTATTTTTGTATTCAGAATTTTAAAAAATAAAATAAAATAGTCATCATCATAATGCAATCATCTTAAACACAATTGATATTATTAAGTATTATTGTTTTCATTTTTTATAACTATCTTCAAAATCATGAAAATTGTGCATGCTTGCTTTTTAAACCCATAATGCTTTTATTATTATGTTTATTTTTTTTATTACTGTTGTTTATATTGTTGCCACTGCCATTGTTATTATGGCTGTTATTATTAATTTATGCCGTAAAGATATTTGCGAATATTTTCATTTATCCAGTAAAAATGTAAATGCTATATGTAATATAAATCAAAAACTGAAGCTTACTAGTAACGTTGAGTAGTGACGTTTCGTCTAGCCTGACCCATTGGATTGGTCACGGGTCAGGTGTGCGATGTAAAGATATTTTCAAAAGAAATTTCAAGTTCAGTAGAGAAACTGAATGATGCATAAATTGACCAGCAATAAATTACCAGTGAATTAAATGAAGATACTCTTATAGAAACTAACATAACCTATACTTTTATTCAACAGAATTGACCTAAAGGTTGAATTTCGAACTGTGAACTTTATGTCTGGAGTTTTAGCCTTCATGCGTTCAGAGGATGATTCCGTTTTCTTTGGATTGTACCTGGTCAATGGGCTTGTTGTTTTCCAATTCGATAACGGAGAGGCAAAGGAGCAGGTGTTAATGGAGACAGTCGTAGATGATGGACTTTGGCATCAGGTTTGTCACTCGCATTCCCACATTTTTTTAAACAAAATACTGTTTAGCCCACTTTCATACTTCTGCACCTGGTGAAAATTTATATCCTGAAAGGACCTTTCTGATTGGCTGCCATGCTACACATTGGCTGCCATGCTACACATACTTGTGTAAGGCGAAAACAAAAAAAAGGTTGGTTGTCCTTCTCCACCCGCCCCTAACTCACTGAAAAAAAATAGGGCGGATAAACAAAAGAACTTAAGAAAAGTTTTTTTTTAGCTCTTTTCTTTACAAATTAAAAAAATATGTGAGTGAATTTAACTTTATTTTTTGCCAGATGCCCTACAAATTAGTCTAAAAGTTGTTGTCTGATATTGCCATTCTAGGCCTCTTTTGGTTATTTTTATTCCATCTGATAAGTATTATATAAAAAAAAATTTAAAAAAAGGGCAAACAAACTCTTTATTTTGTTTGTCCTAATTATACTGTTAATAATTGAAGATAAATAATGATTAATGATATTCTAAATAAAACTAAAGTCTGTGTTATTATATTACATATATATTGCACTATCAAAATAGCAGGTTATTTTTATAGTTGTTTTTGTTTGTTTTATTGCTATTGCGATGCATATTTGCTCTATAACAAATAATAGGTATTTTCGCAACTTTACAAAAATGATAATGAATGCGAATACTTCATAATATCATTATCCGTGTCTAAAACATTCTTGACAATTTGCTGTACGATCTGAATATGATGCTTGATTCATGCAAAAATACGACAGATAAAAAACTACTGAAAACATTTTTTTTTTCAAAATTAACTTGAGCTTATTGCTTCAAATCATTATTCAACTCTGTAAACGCTATGATATAGTTTTCTATGAATAGCGTATCTAAATACTAATACTAATACTAATGCTACTATAGGAAAAAGGTTGTCTAAGCATTTGAGGACGTAACTGTATTTGTTTGCGTTTTTTTTTTTAAAGCTTATGAAAACTCTGTACTATCTCATTTTACTTTTATTGTTAGATTATTGTGAACAGAAATCGCCGTACATGCACATTGACTGTAGATGGGAAGCCAGAGCGTGTCAAAGCAAAAACATGGACTAATTACAAAATGAAACTTCAACCGCCATTGTACATTGGAGGAATTCCTGACAAGGCTAGTACCAGATTATTGTCACAAGTAAGTATAAATCATTCCAAATTTTTAAATTTAAATGTCATCTCAAGTCTTCTGCCCCAGGGGGGGCAGTAGACACTTTGTTGTCGCCTGGCAGTTGACCTTGTAAGAGTAAATCCGGTGGAGGAAGGATGGGATGGGTCATGAGCTAAAGTTTATTGGGAGCGTGTGTCTATGCCCTGCAGTATACTGCCTTACTGTAGTCTTTTCACTAATACAGTATCCACATAGGATTCGGTTATCAGGAAATGCGAGGTGTTGTATTTTTTTAATGACTTTTGTACAGTAAAAAGTACCTGACACATGACCAATCATGCTTCTCCATCGGAATTACCCTTTCAGCCATCTTTAACTGCCAGACGATTACATACTGTAGTGTCTTCACCACCCCCCCCCCTCTTTTTTATTTCCTATTTACATTTGTTTGTGCTTGAAGTTTCTTGTAAATTTTCCTCAGGGAAGGGATAATGCAACGTAAGAAGCAAAACTAAGAGTAACTACTCTGTTTATCCATTATTTATAACCACTTTAAACAGTATTTGTTATCTATTACTGTTATTTATTTTTGTATATTTTATAAAAAGCAAATTAAAACCAGATAGGGAAAAACAGGCATGCAAACAAAATGCAAAAACGCAGGAGTCATCCATCCATCACTTACTCAGTTGCTTTGATGGGCCTCTATATTATAGAGTTGCTCTGTCATGTTTTGTGTTCTTTGGCATTCTTCAGGATTTCAATCCCTTGCTGTGCATTTCGCTTGTGTCCAAGACACTTTATTTGCATTGCTTCTCTCCATCAAGGAGTATAAATGGTTGGGTACCTTGTGGGGTTACCTGAACCTGCGCTGATTACAGCGGCAACATTTCAGCATGTAGAACTAAAAGGCGCTATATAAATGGATGGATGGATAGATTTATTCGGTGTGAACACAAAGGATACAGTAGATAACCAACGAAAGTCTGAAGAAGTCTATTTCCAGTGGGGGCCTTCTGGTGGTGATTGGGCAGACAATCCCGAACTGTTTTCCAAATAGTGTACTGCATTCTTTAACATGCAGACTGGCCATAATGCACACATAATCATGCTTTAACATCTCATCCGAAAGACGGTGCACTATCATGACTTGCATTTCTGCCCTCCAGCCGAAACACAGGGAGAGCAGCGATGGGAATTAAACCGGAGACCAGAGATATCCACGGTTCAGCACACACACATTGGCTACCACCAGTTTAGCCGACTGAGCTAAGCTGCTCTATTAAAATAACCGAATAAATAAAGATTAGAAATCCCTGATTTGTTAATTTTTATCTTCTCTTAGGTTCCCACTACCTTCAATGGATGTATACGGAAATTTGAGTTGAATTATACTCCATTAGATCTAGCTGCCATCAATAAAAGTTATCATGTTTCCAGCTGTTTCACGCCAACGGAACAGCCCCCGTCGTATCATTTTCTTGGACAAGGGTTTGCTGCCTATCGTAAGTTCTGCATTATAATCTTGTGTAAAATAATTTATAATACGTAACAATATTATTTCTTAATTGTATAGAATAGAGAACATGTATATTAAATCACAAAGGGTTTGGCACAGTGGAAATGATTTGGTTTCCAAACCTCAAGGTTGAGGTCTGTATTTGTATACCATCCAATATTCAACATGATAATGTTTATATATCACTGCTATTTTCTGTTCTTTGCAGAAGAAAATTTTCGAGTTGGTGAACATTTTGAAATGGTTTTGCAGTTCAAGACAAATAAGAGTTCTGGAGTTCTTCTATTTGCAAATAGTGATGTCAACAGTGATATGCTGCTGTTAGAACTACATAATGGAACGGTATGTATTAGCCTCTATATCACAGTTCTTGATGTTGATCAGTGGCATAAGCCCACGTCAGTTATAAATCCACCCCCCCCCCACCCACAACCAATTTCATATACCAGCAATTCCCCTGGTAAAGGCCTAGTGTGTAATTTGCTAAGCTGCCTATTAAAGAAAATAGTTATAAACTGACATTGAATTGGCCAAGGATTGTGGAAAATTTGCCCTTTGATTGACAATTTTATTCACAAATAGAGGATTTCCCATGTATGTTCCAACCCCCCCCCCCCAGCCTGAACCCCAAAAATAAATCAGTCCATTTTCATGTTCTAGGGGGAAGGGGAATAATTAATGTTACTTTATGTAAACATTGTATCATTAAAAAGGTACACTTTCTCCATCAAAAGGCTTCTACGAATAGGAATGGCCTGATCAAAACATGAAATCTTGTTGACCAAACAAAAGGGTCTTTGTAATGTGATATTAAATACAAAATATGTTTGATAACTAGCTGCATGCCACCTAGAGAAAGCAGTTACCATTTTACTTCTTTTGGTTGTACTGATCATTAATAAGACAAAACACGGTGATCAGTTATTATGTGTTGATTGTCTGCACTAAAACCATCATTATATGATTACATTAGTAGTAACCTTCAGGTGAAGTAATCATTATTGATGCATACAACTCTTATACATTTACATTATAAAATGAATAATAAACTCTGCTTTAATTTTTGTTATCTTCATCGTGAGATTGATTTTAGTAATTATAGAGAAACATGTCCAATTACAATATTGACCCTGAGCTAGAATGATTGTCTCCATATGATGATTACCACTGATGCATCGCATTTTTATAGACTTTACAAATTATAGACCTTTACATCATTATCTTCGATCTTTTATGCCAAATAGGATTTTAATCAAGGCCTTTGGCCCTTTTAACATCATAAATCTTAATTAATATTAAGTGAGTGTTTCTTAGTTTTTTATTTGGTTTATTTGGTAGCAGAGACTCTTGTAGCACATTGCTTATAAGCCCCTCATGCATGGGCCTTTAATATAATATGTAATATTGTAAAGATGCAGATGGTCCCGTTTGAGCCATTGCGAGTAATTAGTAATGTTTTAAACAGATTCATAGATTCAGTAATATATAGAATATATTATCATTTACAGTAATAAAATGTGGATGCAACAAACTGATTCTAGTCCTTAGTTCATTAATGTTTGTAGTAATCACATCACAGTTCATATGAAAGATAATTAAGTTTCTGATAGTAATTAACTCATGCCAATTTCTGTAAAACAATCAACTAATGTCTCTTCTAAAGAAAATATAACAAAAATTTGAATCGTTACATCATTTAATTAATCTTTTTTAATTCATATTTTTTACTGATGGCGAACTTCCTTGGCTTCTTATCTGCAATCACCATATTATAGAACATATTTATCAGCGTCGAATCGGGGGGTTGTACAACATCTACTCCCTTTTCCCACTTTTATGCTAATTTCATAATATTACGATGTTATTTTTTATTTATATTTTTTTTCGTTTATTTTTAGATAATTTTCAAGGTTGATAACGGACAGAATCTGATATCCTTGACCTTTACATCCGACTCTGTACTATGCGACTTCAAGTGGCACAAACTACACATCATTAAAAATGGTGTCCAGTTGTATCTTGATGTTGATGATAGCGATAGACCGCATGAGTTTACCGGTACAGGAACCACAACCAGCACCGATACTACCAGTCCGTTATATTTTGGTGGTGTACCAAGTAGGTTAATTTAACTTCTTTTTAGACTCTTTTTAAATTTTTTTCATTTAGTTTTCTTTAAAATATAGTTGTATTTAATTTTGGCTTCTGTTTTAAATTTAAGCAGCATAACTTATGTTTTGACATGCAAACACTGTTAATATATTTGGTCTGTATAGTTGGTCTGAATTGCTTTAGTTTTACATGAAGTGCAATGATTGAAGTGGAGTTGAATAGCTTGGTGGTTGAGATGCTTGCCTTCCAATCCCAGGGTCCTGGGTTCAATTCCTGTTCTCCACTCTCTAGGCCTCATTATGAGTCATAACTTAAGTTGAGCATAGTGTTTTGTTTCGTTTGCCTATGCCTTGAGTCTAAAACTTAAATGATGAATCCATACTATTAAATCGTATCTATTTTCAGGTTCATTACAAGAAAAATTAGGACTCTCACCAACAATGGGTTTCACTGGCTGCTTCAAGAATATTCTACTGAATAGTAAAGATGCTGTTGATGATCCTGTTGATCTATCCATGGCATACAAGCTGGACCATGTCATACTAGGAGTCTGTCCTCAAGGTTGAAAGTAACAAGAAGTTTCATTGGCTACTAATTTAAAAGTATTTATTCAGAGATTGCTACAATCAACCAACCTGGAATAGTGTTCTTTGAATACATACCAACTGGACCATGTCAAACCAGGAATCTGTTCACAAGGTTGAAAGTAACAAGGAGTTTCATTGGCTACTAATTTAAAAGTATTTATTTAGAGATTGCTACAATCAACCAACCAGGAATTGTTCGCTTAATACATACCAACTGGACCATGTCATGCTAGTAATATATCCACAAAGTACCAGAGAATTTCATTTACTACTAATTTGAAAGTATTTATTCACAGATTGCTACAATCAGCGAATCAGGAATAGTGTTCCCTTAATATACTGTTTCTAATGGTGTTTTACGGTACTATTTTGGTGAACATATATATACGGTCATTGTTGTTGATTGCCTTCAGTGTATTTCGTTACGCACAATGTTGTATGATATAGAGAGATAAATTTTCCCCTTTACCTTCATGCCCTACTAGACTACTAGATACACCACTGGTTGTGTAGTGTATCTGATAACCGCAAACATTTTAAAATCAATCTGGTTTCCATCTCACATAAATGAAGGATGTGTATTCAGAGGAATTCTTTTTATAATTAGCCGAGACTTTTTTTTTTATACCTTGTTTAGTTTTTTCTTACACCCTCCACTGCCTTGAAATCTCCAAAGATAAGATATGTATACTTTTTTCCTAATTATATAAATTTGAAGCATTTAGCCATCCTATTTTACATTCACCAATAAAATTTTATTTTTATTTTCTCCTCCATTTAGATGTTTTTGTCAGAACTATTTGCCAAATAAGAAAACAAGATTTTATTTTTATTCCGCCCTCCTTTGAGGATCTTTAAAAAAATAAGTGCGCAGAACAAGGAATAAAATAATTTTAGCCTTAGGATGGAAGTCCACTAGGATATGAAGCAATGTTGCAAGGTTTGAATGCTGTAGCAATTCATACAAATGCGTATTTTTTAAATGTGAAGGGTTTCCTAATTTCAAAATTCAGACTGTGAACTGATTAGGTGCATAGCATTAATTGTGAGCTGGATAATTTTCTTACATAACTTCCCGATTTTTGTGTTTGATTAAAATTTAATCAGTACTTAAACTTTAACAACAGCATTTAATTTTTTAAATCAATGTATTGAATCAAGTCACGTTGCAACCACTTTTTGATTGATGCTTCATAAGGGAAATAAAAGTATCATTGATGAGCACAGTAAAGGTAACATAGGACAACATTTAAAAGATCATGATATTAGTGCTACTGAAACTGTTAATTATTTCAAGGTTTTATCCAAGTTCAAATCCAAGTTTGATTGCTTAATTAAAGAAATGCTTTGGATCAAAGAACTGAAACCTACACTTAACAAACAAACTGATTCAGTCAAAGCCAAACTGTTTATCTAGTTAATCTGCTAAGAAGGGCTAATTATTGCTTAGCTCCACTGTGGCTCCACACAGTAGGCCCTATTGATATGTAAATTAATTACTTACTTCCTATCACGGCTTGGTATTTTTGTTTTTAATTTTTTCAATTTACTTGATCTTGAGAATGGTTCCATGATGAACTCGAAACGTCGATCTTTCTTGTCATTAAATTTTGTTTTGAAAAAAGTATCATAATATAATTAAAGCTAACAATTAATTCTGTGGACCTTAGCAGCTTGTAATGTAGCGAGTCCTGCTGAGAAACTGTAACCCTCCAGCACTCAGGTGCTGTAGACAGTTCAATTTATTGAGTACTTTCATCTGAAAGATGACAATAGAAAACTTGCCATCATACAAATTATGGACCTTTTCAGCTTGACGTCATATTTGACTGTCACAGATGTTGGTGACAAAACATTGATAATCCTGATTTTCTTAAAGAATAATTAATGTTTTGCTGTTTTATAACTTTTTGTATTTATTTAATTTTAAGAAATTGTAAATATATATTGTATTTTCTGGTGTAGCTAACAAGTTTTAAAAAAGTAATTTGATAGTAAATATGCTTATAGAGATTTTATCAGAGAGCTTTCACGATGAAAATTATTTGTGATTTTAATAGCTTGTTACATTTTACTGTTTTAAAGATGCTCTGAAATTTAAAAATGAAAACCTTCATACATGTCTTTCAACATATTTTTATAACAAAATTTGGCACTGTTAAGACACTCGTCCTACAACAATGTCACATGGTACAGTCAGTAGCAACCTTAAATTAATAATTGGACTATCATGATGTGTAATTAGATCATTCTCTATTTCTAAGCCTATTAAGTCAACTGATTGATATACTGCGTATTCACAGTTTGGCATAACAGCTAAGAGCTCTCACCAGCTAAATCCAGGGGCCATGGGCCTTTAAGGGCCCAGGATATATTATCTTTTTTGCCAGCGGGGTGTTTTTAAGGAGCACTAAACATGTAAAAGAAGCCACCATAATGCTCCATTAAAACATCAAAAGTCGGGGTCTTACCGGGCAGTAGGGCCCCCGAAGAACCGGTAGCTAGGGGTCCTAGTTGCGCCACTATACATGAACATGTTGCTTCACTGTCACAAAGTTCATGATGCTAAATTAAAGTATGGGCTCATATTAAATGATCATTGCATCAAATCGTGTGTCTGCCACTTTAAAATAACGGAATAAAGCTTGTAAATTAAAGGTATACTGTCTGTTGGGCTAAGAATGTTAATACAATTTGTAATTAGGAAGGAAGGACAAACAATATTTTCTTTGCCAATTTAACAGATGCATAAATAGTACCATATCCTTACTTTAGGATCCTAGACCCATGGTTAATAATCATTCAACGATTTTCTTGTAAAAATGTAGAAATTAGCTGAAACTGAATTTTCCAATTCTGGGTCTCAATGAAAGTTGATTTAAATATACAACGCTCTATTAATTTTTGAGTGATTTTCTTTAAGATTTTGAATTAATCTGGATTATCAGAACATGTTAAATAGATGTAAAAAAACTGAAGATAAAGTTTTGTGTAAATTTATTCTGTAATATATATTGATGTGACAATTATTGTAAACTATAAATGTGGAACTATTAGAGAAAAGATCAGTATTATGACAATTGCATAAATAATTGGAAAAACAATATTTTAATTGCTTTGGCTAGAGTTCCGGTACCAGACCTAGCCATAGTGTATTTTTATTCCAGTTTACAAATTACTAGCATTATGTATGTACTCTTGAAAAATAAGAATTAGCTGGTTTATTCAATAAATGGGGTATGTCAACCACAAATTGTGCTTTATTAAGACAGAAAAAATTATTTTCTAAACTTATAATTTTGACACATTCTTTAACAAACACGTTTTTGGTAGTTGAAAGTAAGCAAATCAAATGTTGTATTTATAAAGAAAAAATGCTTGTTCAAAAACAGCTATAAATTATTAATTTACATTTCTAAAAAATGTATAACAATTGAGAAAAAGAAACTGTTATTCATCTTGTTTTATGCAGTTATTTGACTATGTTGCTGGTTCCATTCCAATCTGTATTCTATATTGCTAAATGTTCATTAAGCACTAAATTTATATTAATTATTTTTATTTGTTTATTTAATTTTATTTAGATTTGTCTAGATTGTCTTTCAAATCTCTACAATTATGTTTGAAAGAACAGGAAATAAAAGTGTTGTGTTTTTCCACACTCATGTTTAATATGACAGACATCTGTGATTTGCCAATATAATGATATATCATATCCATATATGGGAAATATGATGTCATATCACATCCATAGATATGCAATATGATGATATATCACATCCATACATAGGTCATATGATGATATATCACACCCATATATGTACAATATGATGTCATATCACACCACATCCATATACTGTATATGCAATATGATGTCACATCACATCCATATATGCAATATGATGTTATATCACATCCATATATGGGAAATATGATGATATAATATTACATCTATATATGTGCATATCACAGTTATCACATAAAACATAATCAGAAGACAAGAAAACGTTTCAAAATCAAACATTAAAATGGTTAATGAATGGAAGTTGAAAGATTGTTTCCAGGGTTGTGGTAGAGTTAAGTCTATACAGAAATGGGTTGGAGGTTTGCATGGTCATCTGTACCAGCGAACACCTGTTCGGTGGTAAAGATAAGGGACTAGATAATAATTAGTATTGTTATTATAAGGAGATAGGCGTGGTTGATCAGAATATGTGTGTTCATGTATTCTGGCGGATTTTTGTTTGTTTGTTTGTTTTTTTTTTTTTTTTGAACCAGTAACTGCTTAAGGAATTTCAAAGATGTAAATAGAAGCGTTCTCAGGGCTTTTGGCACACAGACTTTGAGTCTTCTAAATTATTTATGACATTGAATTTCTACTATGCATGACAATTTGTTTTGTAATGAATAAATGTGACAGGGTCATAATGGAGAGGATATTGTATGTTGTATTCTGTATCTATCACAAAGTGATGAAGTGTATTATTACATTATTTGTTTTCTATTTATTTAGAAGGAACAGTGGTGTATCTACGAGGTGTGCGGGAGGTTAACACTTCCCCCTTCCCCACCCCCAAATAACCTGGATGCGTCGCAAATCTGGTTCCCGGCGTCGCGACTAATGACCCATGGCTTTGGAAGCCTATGTTGAAACTCAAATACGCTAATTTTATGTCCATGAAGATTCATAAATCATTAAACATAATCTTACCACTGCATTTCAGACTTTATGTAACTAATGAAATAATGGAACGAGATAACATGCAACAGGCAACTTAATTTCTTTAAGTGGGTTTTTTTTTTTTTTTTTTTTTATTAAAAAAAAATAGCAACTGGAAACATAAGCAAGACAGTGTTTATTATTAATTATTATCATTATTATTATTATTATTATTTGTTAAATATCCTACACCTGTCTCTTATACACATCTACAGAAATGGGTTGGAGGTTTGCATGGTCATCTGTACCAGCGAACACCTGTTCGGTGGTAAAGATAAGGGACTAGATAATAATTAGTATTGTTATTATAAGGAGATAGGCGTGGTTGATCAGAATATGTGTGTTCATGTATTCTGGCGGATTTTTGTTTGTTTGTTTGTTTTTTTTTTTTTTTTGAACCAGTAACTGCTTAAGGAATTTCAAAGATGTAAATAGAAGCGTTCTCAGGGCTTTTGGCACACAGACTTTGAGTCTTCTAAATTATTTATGACATTGAATTTCTACTATGCATGACAATTTGTTTTGTAATGAATAAATGTGACAGGGTCATAATGGAGAGGATATTGTATGTTGTATTCTGTATCTATCACAAAGTGATGAAGTGTATTATTACATTATTTGTTTTCTATTTATTTAGAAGGAACAGTGGTGTATCTACGAGGTGTGCGGGAGGTTAACCCTTCCCCCTTCCCCACTCCCAAATAACCTGGATGCGTCGCAAATCTGGTTCCCGGCGTCGCGACTAATGACCCATGGCTTTGGAAGCCTATGTTGAAACTCAAAAACGCTAATTTTATGTCCATGAAGATTCATAAATCATTAAACATAATCTTACCACTGCATTTCAGACTTTATGTAACTAAAGAAATAATGGAACGAGATAACATGCAACAGGCAACATAATTTCTTTTAGTGGGTTTTTTTTTTATCAAAACTAATCGCGACCTTCCAGGGGCGGATCCAGTAGCCCCCTCCCCACCCCGGTTTTGCCACTAAATTTTAAAATTTCAATGCATATATTGAAATTAGCGCTACTCACTTATCTATTCTAAGTATGTTGTGCAATGCAGAGTTCTAGTAGAAAGTGACGAACACAGAAAAGAAAAGACAAGCGTAAAGCTCAGTATATCAGTCATCAAATCTTGTAAGTATCACCATTTAATTACTAACAGGCCGCAACAATTAAAATACAGTAATTACTAGCCAATCAAATAGTCTACAATTTTAAAATTATTATAATTAATGCAACATTCACACAGGAATCTGACTGGAATTGCAACATGTATCGGAGACTGACATCCGATATGAAACTGAGATTGACTGGAATTGCAACATGTATCGGAGACTGACATCCCATGCCATATCTTACATAGCAATATTTTACAAATTAAAATTAAATTAACAAATCAAATTAATTAAAAGTATCTGCGGAAGAACAATTCTCAACAAGTTTTTAAGATGGATAAAAATAGAAATACAAACTGTCATATGTTTTACTACAAATTTACCTTAAACACCATATGGTGTACCAACAGTTTTATAATTTTTTAAATGATACTCGCCTTGCAAACCTTCATAAACTTCAAAGAAATATAATATTAATGTTGTATAACTTTACTCTAAAACTTTGAATTTATGTATGTATTGTTGTTTTGTAATATTTTTATTTTGAAATAAAACTTTCAAAAATTAAAACTAAATCTAAATTATAAATTTTGTTAAATATCCTACACAAGACCAAATAAAAATTATATTGACTAAAAACGATAAATAATTAATTTCTAGGTTACACTAACACAGTTAGAAATATTTGTTGAAATATCTTTTACTGTGGCAGAATTTAATGATATATTAATGGCTATGGTATGATGCATTTTCTGAGAGTGTGTTAAGGTTTTATAAGAAGTGGATGCGGAGATAAAAAATAAGTACAGTTGACAAATACGAATAGTTTTGATTAGGGAGAAAAACATTCATTATGCCCTTCTTAATATACTTGCGTGTACTAAGCCTGAAATGTGACCTAAGAGTTTGATATGTAAGATTAATACTACACATGATAATATGCAATGAGGACTTACATTATCATTTCATTCTTCGGTAGGTGTTCCAGATTTACAATGCAAAGTGCGTTCCGCATGTGTACTACATTTACAGCAGTCAATCTTATCTCCCTTCCAAATACACTGCATATTGCATTATAATGAGGAATAGTAGAAATGGGCCTAGAATAGAAATAGCGACATCAACATATGCCTATACAGAACCTATAAAAGTTAACCAAATACCGCCATGTAAATATTTGCTAATTAATGATTGAAATAAATATGAATGTTAATAAACAAGAGATGTAGATTTAATTGCTCTGATGAAGTATATACTCGCAGTATTAACAAGTATTAATGAATTAAATTATTATCATCATTAACATCACTGCCACCAATTATCATTATCAGCATCACTAACCACCGCCATTAAACTCACCAATACTAATTTCATTCATCCTTTTTAAGAGTTGCCATCACCCTTCCCGTTCCCTGTTTCAAATCTTTCAACCATCGAGTGTGTCAATGGGCAAGACTGTCAACCAGTTACATTTACAAATATAAAGATTTCTATTTTTAACTCAATTGTCGTACCCGCAAATACAAAAATTCACAAGATCAGATGTAATGGGTGTGTTTGCGAGTTTTTTTCTAAGCATTAAAACCCTTAAAATACTGAAGGACCTATTATCTGCTTACAATTTGAATCATGTCAGCGTATTTCAAGGTATAAGAAAAGTAAAAAACTAAAGAAGTATTAATAAAATAAAATTATCCTAATCCAAATTTTGTGTTTTTGAAAATATGGTACCATAAAAACGATTGACATAAACGTTAGCTGTATTCTCTCTCCTAAATACGGTAAAAGGTACGAGAACACCATACAAGAGGTTTAATAAATAGTTTAATAATTATGAGGATTTCAATGATTATTAAAACCTGATAATGACTTATCTTACACTAATACACTAATTTTTTACATTTTGCAGTTGACATGTTACGTCATGTGAAGTAGTAATAGACATTTTTACATTTGAATGCGAAATGGTTTTGCATTTGTGGTTAAACATATTTTTACAGTTGTGGGTGAACTTTTTATATTTATGGTTATTTTTACAATTGTGGTTGACATGTTATGACATTTGGAGTTATATCAACATTTGTGGGTACAATATTTTTATATTTGTGGTTAGTTTTACATTTCTGGTTGATTTTTACATTTGTTGGCTCTACACTTCCCAATTTTTTTTTTTCAAAATTAACAATGGAGAAAGAAAGAAAACTGTAATCAAATTTAAGTCTGAGGTGGTCCAGCGTCTAGACTCTCCATTTGTGAAAGCCCCTCTCTGGGTCCCCGCTATAATTTGAATTTGCAGATCCACCACTGATAGTAATAATTGATATACATGGCGATATTAATATTAGTCTATTAAGAAAGCGTGTGTCATTTGGGCCTACCTGTATCACTTTTGTTGTCCTTTAAAAATAATATATAAATATTTTTGTCTGAGTTTAACAAATTCGATTACTCATGATTATTGAGTTATAGTGCATAATATAATTATAATATTATTATATAGTTGTGAACAAGATAATGACAAGATTCTTGATAATAAATGTCATATACTGTCAATTAAAAACAAAATCAAATAAAAATCTACAACGAACAACAAACCCTAAGCTGTAAATAACGTTTTCAGCCAGTTAGAGGTCTTCGATGGTTTTAGCGAGTCAGTTGGAGTGTATGTTGTTGGATAGCATACAGTCATGTCAGTGCATGCGTCTGGTGAGGGGTATAGTCAATGCCTTCAATGTATTACAAACTTTGTCAGAATAATAAACATAGTATTACGACAGAATTCTCATTTAAGTATTGAATTAACGATGCAAAATATTCAGTACTGTACTCACATTAATGTGTTATTACAGTAATTGCAAAGTCGTCTTCGTGTAGTCTTTCAACTCTTTATACAGATATGTTTTATAATAATGTAAAACGGCAACTGGTGAAGTATTTGAAAGAATTAGCCTGTTATTCTTTTTTAACGCACCATTCCTTTTATTCCTATTCATGATGACGAGGATGATGGTTGTGGTTATACCGAATTTATTCGAATATACTCCCCTTTTAATAAACGCCCGAGCGCCTGATTTGGAATAAACGCCTATTCCAAATAAACGCCCAGGGCTTTAATTTGGGGTAGGCCACCTAAATAACAGTCTATTAAAATTCTACTCTAGTAGAATTACATTTTTGTCAAACCTGTTTGGTACTAACTCTTTATATTCACGCAATAACACATTTTGACGGCAATTATGTGTTGTAGTTCCACATTTACAGTGAAATTAAGAGGAGTCTATGTCAGTATATACGGTATCCATACACCAAAACAAAGAAATAATAATAAATAAATAAATTAATTATTTAATAAATGCCTCCCAATAGTAAACGCCACAGACGTTTATTTGAATAAATACGGTAACAGGCCCGAGAAAGAAATCCCATCCCCGCCCCTCCCAAATATCATCCAAGAAAGCGTTATCCACCAGTGGTGGTGCCAGATGAGGCTCGAAGTTTCTCTCGACGGAGAGATCTAGACCTCAACCTTACCATAGTTGTGGCTGAGGTGAGAACAGCTTTTGAAAAAAGTTATACTACAGTACCTGAAGCTCAGAAATAGCCCGCTTGAGACTAGATTTTAGTGGATTATGGTCCAGAATTTTGTCCCCCAGTTGTTGGTGCCGATATTCAGCTTGTTTTTCTCCATTTCTGAAATATATACTTCTTTGAAAGACTGCCGCTATGAATATTGGCATTCTTCCTTAATAATGACCAAATCAAATGATAATACAGTGTATTTATGGCACGTGCACTCTTTTTCTTAATTACGAACATTGACCAAAATTATAAATATCATTAGGCCTATAAGAAAATTTAAATTTTAATTATAAAATATGTTTTGAAATTATGAATATAAATTTAATTATAACGTATATCTATAAAATAATGAATGATGTTTAACAAATGTATGTAAAATCAGAAAGAATATAAATAAATTTGACTTTGCCACAAAATGGCACCCTCATGAGCTTGTAGATTGTAGAAATAGTATTCTATATATATTTCCGATAGAGGCTCCAAGGTTTTGTTCTCTGAGATATGGATCGCCTTGTATTTTCTAACTTAAGAAATATAGAGATTTTTGTTTCTTAAACTTATCGGTTTGAGTCTAGAAGACATTGCTGCGCCAGCACCAATCCTGGCGGAGATAATAATAATAATAATAATAATAATAATAATAATAATAATAATAATAATAATAATAATAATAATAATAATAATAATAATAATAACTAGGCTTACGATGTCTGTTTGAACAACAGAATATGGGGCTTTTCCTCGTTGATTTAATGGGAAAGAAGTTAAAATTGCAACAAAAGAAAAGTCGTTAAAACGTACAAAGTAAAAAAAAAGAAAAAAAATGTAATTTTAATGAAGTGGAAACAACGAAAACCAAGTTCACTGCGACGTTATTAGGGAGTTTTCGATTGCACGACAACGGTTGGACGCAGAACGTAATGACGTCAGTAAAAGTCATCTGCGCATGCAAGAACGTTACGGTCACCTCGTCGAGTAGATTCTGGAAAGCAATTCTATAATACGGTACTTTGTAAAGTTCTTGTTTCAAATGATTAAATTTTTGTGACGAAAAATAAACTGACAAACTGTTATACAAGGTTTAAATTATGCCCATTGATTTTTTAAAAGAGATATTTAGGTCTGGGTACTCAAAAATTGACATAACCTTCCAATTTACACCTTTGACTGATTCGTCGCCAGCACATAATAATTTCTTCCTTGTAGCTTGGTTAATTTTTTCTGAATGTTTCATTCAGATTAGTTGACCCGTTTTCGAAATATGTGGTCTGGAACGTTTTCCTATAATGGTCCTCAGATCCACATCATACTGCGGATCGTCACAAAAATTTAATCATTTTTTTTTTTACAAGGCCTTTACAAAGTATTATAGAATATTTCATTTAGACCTATTGGTTTTCTTAAAAGATATATTTAGGTCTGGTCCTCAAAAATTGAAAAGACCCTCAAATTTACACCCTTCACTGGATCGTCAATAACACATAAAAGATATCGTCTTTGTAACTTAATGATACTTTCCCGTAAGTTTCATTCAGATTAACTGACCGGTTTTTTAAATATCCGGTGTAGACTGTTTGACCTTGAATTACTTTAATTTGTCCTCACACGCACACCCCACCATAGATTGACTCTAAATATTAGGAGGCACATCCTTGATATATGGCCTATGCTTCGGCAAAGCACGGAAAAAGAAAAAAAGAACAAAAACAATGGCTTTTCCCAGTACTGCTTGGAAAAGCCAATACTAATAATAATAATAATAATAATAATAATAATAATAATAATAATAATTTGTTAAATAATTAAATAACAGCAGTAAGACAACATACAATTTCAACATAAACAGCATTGGCTAATATTATTGTTCCCAGTACTGATTGGAAAAGCCAATAATAATAATAATAATAATAATAATAATAATAATAATAATAATAATAATAATAATAATAATAATAATAATAATTTGTTAAATAATTAAATAACAGCAGTAAGACAACATACAATTTCAACTTAAACAGCATTGGCTAATATTATTGACGAATAATACACTGTTTTTTTCCAAGGTAAATAAAGAACAAATGGTGAATAACTTTCACTAAATTGTATGATCACCGATTTAAAACCATTGGCTAGGAAATCAGAAGCCATGAATCCTATAAAGTACTTTTGATGGTCTGTACAGGTATTTACCATACTTTCTACATACATATCTGAATATTCTTCATAAGTTACTTCAAGATAATTCAATTTAGGAAACATTTTAATTATTTTGCAGAAAGTTGGTATACTAACCTCTCTTATATTCGAGGTTTTGACACTGAGAATATGTATCTCATCCTTCAAATAATGTTTATTCCATACAGTAGAGAAAATCATGATAGCTTCATCACCCCACTTTTCAATAGTTTTAAATAAATACATGTCATTACAATAATTAAAATACAAATAAGAGTAATGCCAAACAGCTTTATGCATTTGTAGTAAGAGTGAAATGTGTGCTACAGTCATACAGATCCTTTCAGATTCCTGTTGGCTTGATTTATCTATAATAGATATAATTTCCTTCATAACCATGTCTGGATTTGTTGTATATCTATTTACAAATGCTGTCATAAGTTGTACTAAATGTTCATTGCTATATGCAGGCAGGCTTTTGTTTATATTCAGAACGGTTTTTAAAGATTTAGTCATTATTTCAACGTCTTTTTTCATTTCTGGGGGCATGTGGTCGTCAAGTGCTTGTATTACAGTTATTTGATTTTCTGTTTTTACATATTTAAAATATGTTGCTAGTGAGTAATAATTTGTGGCATTATTCATCAACCAGTGTTTCATTAATTTACCAGCATTCTTACCTAAGAATCCAATGGCAAAAACTCTTGTCATATGCAAATATTTTGAAGACCTTATCTTTTCATATTCATCATGATGCAGACTCATTTGTCGACATTTAGTTGACAAGTAGAAGCCTGCCAGGGCTTCTGAAAGTAACTTATGGGAGGGGCTGTAAATTTTACTATGATCGTTAACAGCAACGGGTTGATTTTTATAAACAAATCCAAGTTTAAGTGCTAAATCAACTATGTCCTTCTTGTAAACTTTCGTTAACGATGTTTTGTCAATATGCAGTATATTTTTCTGTAGTCCTTTATACATAGTCCCACCTAATGCCAGAATAGCACTAGAATATTTCTTTGGAATACTATCAAAAGTTACTTTTTCCTCATCATTTCTTCTGCCAATGTTCTGATTTAAAATGCAAAGGAAAACCTCCTTATAAAGATCTGTCAAATCATTAGGAAGATATTTATTTTGATTCCAGATGGTACATATATGAAGCAACAACAACGGAGATGAGCACAATTCAAAAGCTTCTTTGTGATTCCCGCCCCAATCATTTTTATTTATTGAATCAATTCTTAATACATTAATCAATGATTCTCCCGACTTCGATTCATTAAAATAATTGAAGTATTTATGAATAAACTGTTTCATTTGGCTTACACTGAATCCCATAACCTTTACATGCACATCACACATTTTAAGAAAACTGTCAGTACGGTCTGGTCGAGATGTTAATATCACCGTGCTATCTCTCAATTCCAAATTATTAAACAAGTTTTCTGGGCCCTTAGAACCAGCCTCTAATTCATCTAAACCATCTAGTAGAAACACCAGTTCATCATCATGTTTTCTTAAGAATGTTTGAATTATCTTCGAACCCCTTTGGAGCTCCGTTTCCGCATAAAAATCCTCCATATCAATATACTGCTGCACAATAACGTCCAAGACACTATTACCTGCTTTGATGTCCCTTACATTCACGAGAAACAGCAGTTTATCAGCAAACGTGTCACTTGAATAGGTAGCCCAATTATAAGCAATATATTTAAGAAGTGTGGTCTTACCCATTCCTGCTTTTCCTGTGATCAATACTCTACATGAATTTATAGATTTTATAATGCTCAATAATTTGGTTAATGAGATGGCTTTTCCTGTCTTCTCAATTTGTGCAGGATGGTCTCTCCTATCTTCTTTTGTAGACGTCATTAATATTATATCAGTGAATATTTGCGCAACATGGACATCAAAACCGTTGTCCCAGATTGGTGGTATCATTGATGCTTTATTCTCATAAGCTTTATTCAACATGTTTGTTAAAAAGTTTCTAATAACGTCTGAAATTTAGAAAATATAGCAACTTTCTTAAATAAACATAGTATAGCAAAACCATATATTGTATATTGAGCAGTATTTAGTGCATAATGAAATACAGTAGGCCTATAGTAGCTCATTTTAAATAATTAGCATCATATATATAACGTCACAATATGTAATTCATGGAAGAAAGAAAGTTCAGCCGAATTTAGAATTTAAAGTTTGCTAAAATAAGAATCGTTGATAGGCTATGCATAGAAACGATATTATAGTATGCGCTTTATAAGTATATCACCATCACAATTACCATTTAAAGAACCATTAATGACAATACCATTGCTCCTCTTCTCCGATAGTGTTAAAAGATATAGTTTCCCTAGTTTAGTTCCCGAAAAAGTTTCCCCCTTAAGGGGTGTATCAAAGGAGAAGTTCTATTGTATCAGATGTGTTACTTTATTCTGTAAGGTTATCACTATGCTGTATACGTTTGTTAAAGACGGTTGTGGTGGTGGGTGTTTGTCTTTAATAATGCTAAAATACACACTCCACCATATATACAGGGGTGTTCTCAAAATAAAAATCTGCTAAATTGTAAAGAAACAGTAATAGGCAAGTTACCTATTCTTGGATTTTAAGAAATATATTTATAAAAATATGGAATTTTAAACAAATGCAAAATATATCAAGCTGTATTATGATGACACGCTTCACATAAAAATACATGATATCACAATAAAATTTACACTATGAATTTCCACAATGACGTATTTAGAAGAAAAAAGCAATTGTGTGTGTGGGGAGGGCTGTTTGAGGGAGGGGCGCGACGTACAGCTAATTGGGTAGTATCTTGCTTGGGACTAGCTGGCAAAAATAAGGTAATATCAGGTATTTTTTTAACTGCTTGAGAGTATTGTTTTGCTTAAAATATTGGGACACAAGATTTTTGGAGGGGAGGCCGGAAACACCAACACCGTCACTATTGTATATACGCCACTTTAGTTGGCCAGATTATTCTGTGGATGTTGAGTGGCACTTACTTTGATCACAATGTGTTCCAGTGTACCCTGTCCTACAGCTGCATGTATAGCCCATACCAGACGGTACACACGTACCTCCATTCCGACAAGGAGTACTCGAACATGATTGAGTTGCTATATTAAATTAAAAAATATATATCTAATTTAATATTGTATATTTATTATTTTAAATATTAATTTAAGTATTATATTACAGTTGACGTTAAAAGGATATGTAGTCATATATCATATATTCTGTAATATTATTTTGAATGATTGACATTACGTCGTAAGTCATAGAGGATTCACTTTTGACTGAAAGAATAATGTAGTACAATATGAGTATGCCTATTAACGCTTATAGATAAAAGCATTAATGTTTTCGTTTCGTGATATTTGTGTGTGTGTGCGCGCAAGTGTGTGTAACACTTTGCTGGTTCAGTTTGTCATTCTTGTGTTCAAAATATCTCAAAAGAGGCTGCACAGCACAATTTAGAATAACAGGGAGTGTTAGGTATAACCCAATGAAGAAATGAATAATTTTTGGTGACTGTCCGGAGTAGGGCGTGGATGTGAAGACCATTTAAAGGAACTTGTCCAAGACAAAATATCTCAAAAAATAATCAACTGACATGAATGAAACTTTCGTGAAAGTTTAACCAATTTAAAAGCAAGAAATTATCAAGTGCTGGTCACGATCCAAATTAGGGGGTGAGCGTGAGGTTTATTTAATTTTTAAGGTCCTGCGTGTTTCTTGTGTACAGAATATCTCGAAAAAAGCTGCACTGGTTTAAATGCCAGTTACAAGGATTGTTAGGTATAATCCAAGGATAAGGTGATTAAATTGTTGTGACCATCCGGAGTAGGGTGTGGATTTGATGACCATTTAAGTGAAAACGTCCCAGACTATATATTTCAAAAACTAATCAACTGATATGAATGAAATTTTCGTGAAAGCTTAACCAATGTACAAGATCCAAATTCAGGTGCATTTGAGAGCCAAAAGCTCCCTGACCTAAACGTCTCGAGAATAGATCAATGGATAAAAATGAAAATTGGCACAACAGTTTGTCATGTAATAAAGAAGGTGTAAATTTTGGTCGCGATCCGCAGTAGGGTGTGGATATGATAACCATTTAAAAAATGAGTTTACCGTATTACCGTTAGCAGAAACAATAGCTATATGATTAATATTTAAATTAGTGCAATTACAGTAAATATGTACAGCGTTTCATATGTACTAACATTACTTTTTTTCTGAACTTATTGGGAATATTTTAAATTCATCTTTAAATTTAAACATGTGACGCTAAACCCAACTCCCCATATTTATATTTCCAAAATATTTCTATTTTAACACCAATACATTGCATGTATTTGTTTGTCAGCTATCAGAGTAAAACTAGCCAGTAAGTTAAGCCAGAATATGTCAGGAATTGGCTGATATACAACTAATACAATAAAAGGCGTTTGAAAAGTGAAGTGATTATATTTTTGACCCTTCAAAGCAAAACGTGTGTTGGTGTAATTTGTTTTTAAGTAGATTGTGGTTGGTGGTTGGAAAGTACATATTTTGACGAATTTCTAATAGAAGAGAGTGACGATGGGCGGAGATATGCCCTCTACTGAGTGCTCTTGTTATTATTAATATTATTCGACTGATACATCTATCAAGGTTAAATATTATATATATAAATTAAATCTTTATATCTCTGTATAAAGCAGCAAACAAAAGAGCTTAAGTTTTAAGCTTTCGACTATCACTGTAGTCTTGTTCACAATAACACACTTCCTTTGTTTCTTGTTTAATCCAGAGATATAAAGGTTTAATTTATATTATTATTATTTTTGTTTTTGTTATTGTTGTTGTTGTATTCAGCGCTGTTTGGCGGGGGCGGGGGATGTGTCTGTCTGTCTGTTTTATTTTTTGCCTATTGTTTTTTTTATGTTAGCAGAATTCTGGATCTAATGATGAAGAGATTAAATGTTGTGGTGTAAATATGAAGATCATTAGTAAGGTTTATGCAGAAATAGATTACCATAAAGCTTAGTGGTCTACTAGGTAGAGTTTATAGCCAAACATGATGCTGGAAAGTACTATGCCCTGCTGGAGCTAATAATACAGAGACCAGGAGACTACTGTTAATAAAGAGTTTTATTTTAGTATAAAATTCAATTAAAATATACCATATTTTATCAGCAACCAAGTAAACTTAGCGATTTCGTCGCCAACTGCACGCCTGACGAAATATTAAGCGTGCATTACTTATTACTATCAGCAATAAAGTTATTGACTAGTTGAACAGATTTAGGAAATGAAGAAATTAATGAAAGAGTTAAAGGAGAAGCCGACTGTGTTTTTCCATTGGTGTTAGTGAGGAAGCCTAAAAATTGTGGTATAAAGGCTGTGTTGGTTTGCAGAAAGGGAATGGTGAATCTGTGAGTTATTGAACACCTTTAATAAATGAATGAGTTATGAGGTGCCATGTCTCGTGATAAAGTGTCTTAAGTTCAATTAGAATCATACTAGAGAGTAATTCAAGATCATACAGTTTGAAGGATAAAGTCATACAGTATTATTAATATGACAATGGTAATGAAGATATAAAAGCATAGAAATTATTTACCAGCATTATAATTTTCGCAATTGGTTCCAGAGTATCCATTCAGGCAGTCACAGGAATATCTATTCCGGAAAGCGGTGCAGGCCCCTCCATTGAGGCAGGGATGTGAGAAGCATAGATCTAATATAGACAAACACAGAATAAAGTCATTTTAGTCAAATCAGGGGAAAATGGTTGGAATCTCAATATCGATACCAAATGCCACGTACAGTATGGCCACGTACAATTCTCTTTCATTTTGACCGATATACAAAGTTAAGTTAGTTTGTTGGATTTTGAAACAATTATTTTCTTCCAAATGTCATGAAAAACTACCTTAACGTTTACAGTTGTTGGATCCATAGTTTATTCATTATACCACTTAAAGGAATACCCACCAAGAGAAACGACGACAGTCTCACCATTGTTGCAGGACTGTGAGGGGCATGGAATTAATTTCACAATCAAAGAATGAAAATATAATTGATTTTGTAAAATCAGGAGGTAGGCTTTCTTGTTAGAATTTGAATAGAGATACCAAGTTTTTTTTGTTTTTTTTAAGCTTGATTTTATGTTATTGATAATTATCAAAATATATAAAATTAAATAAATATAAATTTAATTTAGAACATTGTTATGATAGAAATCATATATATTTGTTTTACCCAACTGAAGAAATTTCAACATTTCTCGAGGTAATGGTCAAAGTTCAAAGACAAGAAAAGTCGATTTTTGTTTTGTTTTTGTTTATTATGCAGTATAGGTAGTGGTATGCCTTCTGTGGATTGAAGATTAATGGGTCATTATTAACTTTTGTGCTGGGTAATATGCATATTTATTATAGCCAGTTATAATTAATACTTATTACTGGTAATAATAATAATAATAATAATAATAATAATAATAATAATAATAATAATAATAATAATGATGATGATAATAATAATAATAATAATAATAATAATAATAATAAAATAATAATAATAATAATAATAATAATAATAATAATAATAATAATAATATTTACCTGGTGATAGGTTTGATCCAAATAATAGGTTGATGACAGTAAAGAAAATAGCAGCAGCAACAATCATTAATACTGTACAGAACAAACAAATTATATTATTTGAAGAGTTTTTGAATGACCGTTTACTGTAAGACAGTATTTATTTTATTTGTGTAAAATGGATACGTATACAGTATACAGTATACTCTAATTAACGCCCCTTAATTTCACTGTAAATCAGTGATGGCGCCAAGTCCTGCCCGACGGAGGGGCTAAGGCCCCGCTAAAGGCCCCGCCGGGGGGGGGGGGGCTAGTGGAGCGAATCGAGTCTCACTTGGCTAGAGGCCAGGGGGCCGCAAAGGCCCCCCGGTTAAAGCCACGGATATTTGACGAATTATGGCGAATTTTTATTACTTATTTGACAGGCATCGAGTTACTATAGTATGACTTCATGTACAGTAGGCTATGTTTTCTAATCAGCTTCCAAAACCAAAATATTTTGAATAAAGCAAGAAATAAAGAGTATGCAATGTAACTATCTAATTTATTTTCAAATCCTTATTCTTGAAAGTGAAATTCTATATTTTGGAAATTGTGTGTGAAATATGTCAACCACGCTGTCAATGTCGAGGTTGCTTCACCTATCACAATGTATTCCAAGCTTCCTGAGGCTATATCCAAACGAGCACTTTTCTTAACAGAACGCAATTTATTTTTAATCAGTCTCATTGAACTGTTATTATTATTATTAATTATTATTATTATTATTATTATTATTATTGTTGTTATTGTTGTTGTTGGTGTTGTTGTTGTTATTATCAATATTAGCACTTTTCTTAACAGAACGCAATTTATTTTTAATCAGTCTCATTGAACTATTATTATTATTATTATTATTATTATTATTATTATTATTATTATTATTATTATTATTATTATTATTATTGCGATGAAAAGTTAACACAA